AGTCTTTCGCATATGTCGAACTATTGCATGATCAACGGCGTCTACTGTATACATGGAATATCCCTCCATATGCAATGACATGATGGTTGTTGATTGAAGTCTCCCCTGGGCAAAAGCTACTGGTTAGGATACGGACAACTACTGATTTCAGTGTGTACTTGTTCGGACACATCGTTAGCTGCGTATATGGCTTTAGGTTTCATCCGATTGATCTAAGGGAAATTATTCTTAAAGACTTCAAAGCTTGGTCACTCACAGAAAAAGTAAGAAGAAAGCGCCACCAAAGTAAAACAACGTCATGAGACATGTAAACGCTCATGAACCTTAGATTGCGACGTTTAAAGCATTCATTGCAAAAATTCAGGACATAGAACAGTCCAGCCTTTTTCACAAGACGAGCCAATCGCGGCAGTCTTGTCAAGGTTCCCTACGCCGTATCACATTATAGCGACAAAAACACACACGGAGGTGTAATAAGGAGACAACTCAGTAAAAAGGTTGAGGTCGTGTACCGATGCGAAGAATAAAAAAGCGATATAAGCATGCGAAAACATTCAATACGCCGTCTGATGCCCTACAAAACATTTGAAAGTTCTATGGAATTAGGCTAATAGTGAAACACCTAAGATAGTATGTTAATTTTGGCGGGGTCGTCGGGTTGGCCGTTTGAATATATGGAAACGCCTGTCATGTCGCGATATAAGGGCGCAGCTCATCCATTCATGAGGAGTCGCGAGAAAATGTCCTTCAAAGTGAACGAAATAAAATAAAGGTTGTCATTCCTCACACTTAACGTGGAATAAACACATCATGATAATATACACCATTTTCGATTACAACCAGTGGTTGAAAGAAACTTTGATCGGCAGCAAAATGGCACCGGGCATGAATTCAGAAGAGATAATGTCCTAGATAAATGAGGTTTGAAAGCCGAAATAATCATGACTTAAGTGACGGCGTAAATTTTTAATCAAGCTCAGTACACCAAAGAGGAGGATAGCGACAGAAGCACGGAAACATTGCCACTGTGCGGATGTCTTCCATTTCCCCATTGCTCAACACTCACCCAACTGAAGAGCTTCCTCATAACGGCCGTTTTCGTAGTAGAGGCCCATGAGGCGTGCTTCGAGAGCCTGCCTGAGAAAAGTCCTACGCTCATTGGCAGCCCAGTCAATGCATTCCTGACACAACTGGATTTCCCGTCCTGTTCCTAATTCCAAGTCCAGAAACAGGTCAACCAGTGTACGAACAATGCGGCCGGCTTTCGCTTTGCTGATCCTCTTCAGGAATGGACGGATGTGCTGAATAAGATCAGCAAGCTCTAAAGAAATAAAATTATAAATCGTGAAATGGAAGTGTTTTGAATAGTGAAAACCCACCCTAAGATTTAATAGAAGGGATTTTAAAGCAACGCTACCGTTCGTTGCAAAATAATACGACACAGTACACCAAAGAAAAGCAAATAATTTTGGTATCGACGTAAGAACCAAGGAGGTTTCAGATCATTTTAACAGCTGAGTATGAAGAGCCATTGACTGTTCACGACGAATTCAGAGACCTGTTGAAATCATAAAACAGCCACTCTCAAGAAGGCGCCTTTGGCAACGAATGTATCTTCTGCCCGCATTTTCCCCTAAGAGTTAAATGTTAAAACGGTGAACTGTATTTACTGCCTGAGTGTCTAGTGTTGTCTACTGAACAGTGAAACGAAAAAATAAAACGCGAAATAGACCGCTATAGCATTCTCGGGCGTAGGAGAAGCCTTGTGTTGAGTCGACAGCTACTGGCAGAAAGGTCTGAATGCGCTAGAGCACCGAAAAATCTCTTAATCTAAGCAAGAAATATTTTGCATCTAAATTTTACCTATTCATAAGTGTGACTAAGCCTTTCGCTGGCTAATACCACTTATAACTATTACTTTTCCTGTTGCTGCTGTTAATTCTGGTGATAGAC